GTTCCCCGAGACCACATGATTGTGTATGATGGTGTCAAAGCTATAGCTAAGCGGAGAAAGGGACCTACTACTATCCATGCCCATGGAGACTTTAGGTCACACAGCTCACCTTCAATTATCCTATTAACCTTTCTTGCAAAAGTCTGCCGCTCTACAAGCTGATGAGGGGAAACTACTATATGACCTTCCTTTGACACTAACTGTCTAGTCCTCAGTCGCCAAGGGAAACTAATCATATATAGCAGTATTTAAATCAGACTCTGATCTTCATAAGGTTCCCTCCATCAAAACCTGCTTCCACACTAATGATTTTACATTAATAGCCAAAAAGTACTGGCAGTGATGACCTCCAATTCCACTCTAATAACAGAAAGATCAGGAGTGACTCTTCCAGCTCCAGCACTAACGGGAACACATTCACATAATGGATAGGCCAGAGTAATGGCAAGTATTAACTGGCTTTCTTGTTTAGTTACTAACAGCTAAGTAACATTGACACGGGTAAGTGTGTCAGTGTCCGACACAATAAACGGCATCCTAAAACCAGTTGACACAGGGATAAGGATTTTGATTTATTTATAATCCATTTTAGACATATAACATACCATCTCTCTTTTTTACCTTTCCATTTTATCTTTTATTTAATTGTAATTTGATAAAGGGATAAATTCTTGCTCATCTCTTTCATTTTCTTCATATATCAGGGTTTCATTACAGATTCTAACCCGAATTATGTGCATAAGTTTGTAAGTGTGTCTGGGAAGTGTCCATGTTTGACCGATACGTGTGTCTAGTGTCAGTGTATATATCCAACACGGAATTTTTTAATAATATGGAGTGTCCATGTTACATAGACTAACAGGGTTAGTAAATTTTCTGTGCTTGCTTTTCTTTACAACAAAGGTCAAATTATGGCACCATATCCGTAACTAAGATATATTAAAACGGAAATGGTTGCTGCCATTCTCTTTAATATCACAAATCATCGACAACACATCCTTGAACTACACTTACTATGCAGTGATGTTTTTTCCACACTAGTCTACATTGGAAACAAAATTTCACACATGTTTGACTGCAGATAGTGAGACTATCAAATGATTTGTTTTTTTTTTTTTCCACCTGCATTGGCTATTACAGATTCAGATATTAACAATTTCTCAAATATTTGAAGCTATTTTTTTGAAATAAAGATTAGGGGTTAGGCAGACCCCAAACTGTATTAAATTCAATGAAATTTTTTACACAAATCCTCCTTAAAAAATCTGATCTAGGACAGTACAAAAACCAAAGGAAGACAAAAAAATTTACACTCTTGTAACTCATAAGTTAGCCCCGCCATTCCCTATGGCCTATACACATGTTTCACATAAATATTTACAAATCGAGACAAGATGTGATATATCAGAGCTATCCTTAACCTAAAATCCAACAACATTCCACTGCAATATCAAAATTGACATCTTCTTATCAGCACATTATCTCCACACTGATCTGGTGGTAGCGTAATCATCCTACTCTCCAGATCAGCACTCAATCTAGGGAATGGACCTTGGACATGGGGTTGACTAATGATATATGCATCCAAATAAAAACCAACTGGCAATCATTGGAATGGGTGGGGCTATATATATATCTTAACAATGAGGCCGCTCGAAACTCCTTATAAGTCTTAATTGTGAAGAAGCAGAATGATCCTACATACAAGATCCTAAAAGTCCTAATGTACCTACAAGTATCAGTTTCTTTTCTTTACATTGTTTCTTCCTTTCTTTCTACTTTGCCAAACTTTCTTTATAGACATTGGTTGTTGCTTACAAACCCAAGCAATGCTTCAACAACAAAAAACATTGCTTAGATATATGTTGTCTTCATTATTTGGCTGAAATATAACACATATTTGTTTAGCTATGTTGTAATTTTATGTTAACTGTTTGACTCTTGATTGTAAACTGTAAACAATGAAACCACATCAATTACCACCTAATGGTATGAGAATAATAACACTGTTATTTCACTAACATACACAAGCTAGCAAATTTTAGAGCATTCAATGGTGTTAAAACACCAACTCTTTCAAGTAACCATTCATCAAAACAAACAGAGATTGTACCTCAATTGAATGTAGGGCGGCACCACTTTATATAGAGGCGTTCAAATATAGGATATCATTACTCTTGGATCAACACTCTACTCCATAGTCCCTTTCCCTTCTCTTTAGTTCCATCTAATAATCACAAACAAATAAAAGACAGTAAGTTGCTAAACTTCACAATCCCATCATAAAATTATCAGCATATACCAAATCAGGAATACTGTCAAAGTGTCAAGTAGCAGGAGAAACACAAAATAAAGATTCACTGTCAGATTTGAAAACACAATATTGTCAAGGAAAGATTGACAGTTTCCCCCCTCAATGGTTGCGTATGGAAATCACTATAACCTAATTTGAAAACAAAATTATCAATTTACTTTCACTATGTGGTCCTAAAAATTGAAAACACAAAGCAAGAAATGATCGAACACAGTGGCACTACCCACTTGGTGTACCTTTATAGTACATGCACATAAACCCCACCAGTCCACCACTATCCATAATGCATCCTCTCAGGCTCTCATCAAGAACTCCATAAATAACTATTCATCAAGAACTCCTTAAACATCTATTCATCAAGAACTCCATGCCCATTTGCAAGGAAAACATGAACTGGAAAAGGAAGAGAAGTAGGAAAAAAAACTTTCTATCAAGCCATTGCCTTTTCTCAA